GGGCGTCTGAATGTTTGAAGCAATTATAAATGTGGGACTGAGGGGACATGAGCAGGTGGGGAGCGAAGGAAGAAAAGCAGGTGAAAGTGTTAAATTAAAAGGGATTCTGGGAGGGTGGGGTGATGCCAAACACATATGGTGATGTAAACGGCCTTGCTAGCTTCCAGCTCTAGCTAATCGTGAACCTTTAACCCTAAACCCTAAACCCTTCACCTCCTCCTATTAGGGTCCCTCTCTATCACCATAACTGGGGACTGGGCCGAGGCCTAACCCAAATGGGGGTTTCCCAAAATTAGGGGTACCTTTTTGGGGGTCCCTATAATAAGGACTACACTATTTTGGGGTCTATATTGGGTCCCCTTATTTTGGGAAACTACCACATGTCTGGGACTCAGCTCTGAGAGATTAGGCCTTTTTAGGATTTAAGCTAGGGCCTCGGTGTTTAGGGTTTAGGGTTTGGGATTTAGGGTTTAGGGTTTAGGGTTTAGCATTTAGGGTTTAGGGGTTATATAGGGATAATGGAAGAGAAAATGGAAACTACTGTACTGGGGTTATTATAGGGTTATTATAGGGTTTAAGTTTTTGGGTTTAGGGCCTTCCGTGCGTCGAATTGCGAAGGGCTCCGATTGCGATTTTCAATTTTTGGGATGACCTGAATGAGATCCCTACTTGGCGGTTTGTACCATCCAGTCTTTCGTGCTTGAACACATGCTGAAAGCAAGCTGCTTTCAAGCACAGGTGCCTTCAACTGTTGGCTCCCTTTTTCTTAGCCTGAAACATTTTGAGCCAATTCTACATATTGCTCATGACGCATTGAAGCAACGTCAAGAGTGTCTTAAACTTTCCAGGCGTAAGTCTTTGTTGCTGTCATCTTCTTTTTGCCTCAGTGTTTGGGAGACCTGGCGCTTGCAGGAGGGGAGGTACTTTAGGAAGTTTACATAAGCTTTTCGTAGCCACTATAGCCACTAGACAACTCCCCAATGGCCCTTTCGCACACCTTCTAAGCTCCCCCCATTGATAATTGCAATCCAGAAGTTGGTCATGAGTTGGGGAGAACAGGCGAATACATATGGGGCTTTTTGCTCATGTGTTTGGGATTTCGCGCAACAACGGGAACCATGTGGAAATTCTGCCATGAGGGAGGTAGATCCCGCATTCAGAATGTGCTTGTGCCCCTAACCTTCCTACTTGTCCTAGAAGATCTTCTACCTCAACCAGCCAATCCCCCAACAGCAGCCCCCAGAAAAAAAAGAAGAAAAGGCAGAACCCCTTCCCATACTGCCCAACTTTTCCGCTTCGGCCCGCTCGCTCGCCCATGCGTGGCGCATTTCTGCGGGGCTGGCGAAGCCCAGCCGGGGCTCCACAATGCATTTCCACCTGAAACTTGCTGGGTTTGGGTAAGCAATGAAGGAATGGAAGAGAAAATGGAAACTCTGAAAAGATTGTTGGTAATTTGAGGCTACTACGGGGTCTATACCTCCATTCTGCATTGGCATGAAAAGTAGAGATGGGTTCAGGAGGTTGGCGTTTTAGGGTTTAGCGGATTTAGAGCTTATTTGTCAAGAACACGCTTGCAAGGTTCCCTCAGCCCGAACCCTAAACCCAAAACTGTAGGACCGGTGAACCTCCAAGTGAGGCTTCAGGCTCTGGCATGTTGTTCTTGGGGCTGCGGGCGTACTCGGAAGGTCAGGGGGACGTAAGCATAATGGAGAAGAACATGGAACCTACTGTTACTACTATGCGGTTTGGGGGTTGCTTGAACTCAATCCTAAGAGATGAGCGCTGAGGCCCCTACACCCTACTGTCAACCCTAAACAGCGCCTAGCATATAGTTCTGCAGGCGGCTAACCAAGGTCGGTGAAATAGATCTCCTCTTACTAGTGCGTAAGGGAGGGCAGGGGAATCCCTATAATCACCCCCACAATGCTGCCTATGTTACCCTCCACACTTCAAAGTCCCCTATATGATGCTGCCTAAAATCGACCTACATTCCCTATATCATTTCTTACTTTGCCTCCACTACCTCCCTAAACCCAAAACCCAAAACTCTACACCCTCAAGCCAGTTTAAGTAGAAATTGTGTTCTCCCCCCCCCAATTTCAAAGATCTCTCAGAAATAAACATTCAGCGATAATGGGGTATATATTGGGGTTCCATTGGGATAATGGAAAATAAAATGGAAACTACTATAATATAATATCTACCCTATTATAGTATAGTAGTTTCCATTCTATTTTCCATTATCCCAATGTAACCCCAATCATCTATCTGGCCCGCACTTTGGCATGGCTGGGGTGGGAAGGATGAACTCCCAGACCCCCTAAAGGATCCAAAAAATGGAACCCCTTTAAAGGGGTTTATAGGGGTCTATATGGGGGTATATAAAGGGTTTATAGGGGTCTATATGGGGGTATATAGGGTTTAGGGTTTAGGGTTTAGGATCCAAAAAATGGAACCCCAGAATGATCCCCTAGTTTCCCCAATGTAGTAATGGGTTCATATTGGGGGGGGTTCCATTTTTTGAATCCTAAACCCTAAACCCTAATCCCTAAACCCTATATAGACCCCTATAAACCCCTTTAAAGGGTTCCATGGTTCCATTTTTTGGATCCTTTAAGGGGTCTGAGAGATTGGAGGCTGAACCCTGAGGTCTTGGGTTTAGGGTTCGATGTGGTCGCCCTCATCACTAAGCCACTTTGAATCCTGAACCCTAAGTCCTAAACCCTCAATCCTAACTTCTAAGCCCTGGCCGCTATATCCTGAACCCTACGCCCTCAACTCCCTAATCACCATTGGTGCGGCTTGGATGTTTACAACCGCGATTCTTGAAGGTTCATGGGCCAAAGTTCCGGGTTTAGGGTACCGGGTTATGGGTAGTCGCAAGTAGGGTTGTAGATGACACATAGAACCTACATTTGGGGACCTACAACTCCACTGACAGCTACCCATGATCATGGAATACTCGCTACCTCCCCCCTTGCCCAGAACGATCCGAGAGCCTACAGGGGCTGTAAAGTATCGTATGAGATCTTTCTGCGCAATAAGGGGATTGTGGTTACCCTATAATAAGGCCCCTTTTACTAAGTGCCTGACAGCCAAAAAACTCTGATTTCGGGTCTTGGGAGAAACAAAATCCCCATTTGTTCGAAGCAACTCCAGACTGCTTAATAACCCTGAGGGTCCAAGGACCCAAATAATAGGGTTTTAGGGCCCAAATACCATTAATAGTATAGTAATTGGACCCTAAAGCCCTATTATTTGGGTCCTTGGACCCTCTAGGTAAGGTAGATGGACAAAACCCTGCTGCAATCATGGTGCTTTGCTGTACTTGGAATGATGCAGGGCTTTGCCGTCGACATGTCAACACCCTCAAAAAACTTTCAAGCCCTGCAAATCTCTGACGCTAGTAAGGCCTAACAGTCACTAAATAAATTAGGGTTTAGGGTCTAGGGTTTAAGGTTTAGGGTCTTTAAGTGGTGGGGTGTCCCCAAGGGTCGGCGGGCCCTTGAGGGGTGGGTAGCGATTATTCTCATGACATAGGGTCTAGGATTTAGGGTTTAGGATTCAGCCAGGGTTTCGGATATACGGTTCAGCATCTAGGGTTTAGATGAGATTACAGAACTAACCCCTGCCAACATGCAAAGAGCATTGTCTGTTGACACAGACACTTCCACCCGTAGCCTCCATAAGTCCTGAGTTCGCGCCTTGCACTAGGGGCCCTTACTTACAAGCCAGACTCCATGATAAGGACCTTAAATTCATCCTTCCACCCCCTACCCTTAATGTTGCATGTTGCCACTAAGAGACCTTATATACTGGGGGACAGATTTCTTCAAACATAGGGGTGGGGCGCGTTTAATATCAGCATGAAGGATTAACTTCTCATCCCTAAGCCCTAAGCCCTAAACCCGATATACCCTAAACCCTAAACCCTAAATACCCTAAAAACTAAATGCCCCTTACCCAGAAGCCCCCAAGATGCCCGTGCCTTGCAGATGGTTATGAGATATCTGACGCATTCAATGTCGTTCGGATGCGACCTGTGGATGTCCTTCGCGGTCTAGCCCTACAACCCTCGAGTAACGTTTTAGGTTGGGGTTTAGGGTTTAGGGTTTAGGGGTTTAGGGTTTAGGTTTGGACCCTCCACATAGTTGGCAGTTCAGGATTATTATAACCCATCAATAACTGCAAATACATAGAACCCGACGAGATGCATTTGGGTAATTTTGGGTTTGGGGATTCGGGCTTTGGGTTTCGAGTTTAGCATTTGGCATTGAGTGTTCAGGGTTTACGGAGGATTTGAATAAAAAAAGGGTTTGGCGATTAGGCTCGAAAGTTTCGGGTTGAAGGCCATAAGCCCTAAACCCTAGACCCTTATGGTTCAGGGTTGAGGTTTGATAGCCTTTAACCCTAAACCTTAGACCCTAAACCCTAAGCCCTAGACCCTAAACCCTAATCCCTGAATCCTAAACACTAAGCCCAAACCATAACAGTCTAGGACTTCGAATTAGGCTTTGCTGTTCGTGCTTTCCTGCTTTATGGTTTGGGTCAGGTGAAGTTGACAGTCGACGAACATCCCGCGCCAGTTGAACCCTGAACCCGCTACGTCCTGCATTGCAGGTCAGGTTTTTGGTTTGGGATTTAGGGGTTTCCCAAAATTAGGGGTACCCTTTTGGGGGTCCAAATAATAAGGACTATAGTATTTTGGGGTCTATATTCGGGTCCCCTTATTTTGGGAAAGTACCATTTAGGGCTGGTTAAAGGTTTAGGGCTAAGGTTCCTGAATTGCAGGTCCTGGGTAAGTAGGTATGTCGCAAAGACACTAGCGCTCTCTATTACTCTAACTTTGGAAGACCACAGGATAGTACCTCCCTACAATGTAGGTTTTCCCTACCTAGGCTAAATCCACTTACCATCTCATCTTGCATCACGTGGAAATACTTGGGCTTTTTGCTTAGCAAAACCTGAAGCCTTAAAGAGTAAATTGCGTCCTGGCGTCTGTTTATCCCCATCATACTAATATTGGCTTCCGCACCCCAAGCATTAGACATTGCCCATAGGAGAGATTATATGTTGAGGCTCGTCTTTAACATTAGGGGTAGGTCAGATGTTCAAGATGAGTATGAATGGATTGTTTTTTAGGCTTCTGACCTCAGAGATTCCAACTTTGTTTTTTTGGTTAGGGTTTAGGGCCCCTTCTCTCCCTCCACTGTAAACCCTGAACCCTCCGTCGAAGAGGAAAATGAGCTTCCTTGCTTTGCCGAAGCCCCAGAGTGGCTGGCATGAGGTTAGGTAGCAGCCTTCACGGAAAGAGTGGAACCAGATATGCGTAGCAAACTTATCCGCGGGCAGTGTGCTTCTAAGGCTTGAAGATTGGGTCCAATCCCCCACTCAGTAATGGGTACCACAAGGCACTAGTTTATGCATATCAAGACCCTATTAACTTCATATTAAGGAGCTATTACTACAGGGGGGATTGACACAACTTCAAGATTCAAAAATTGACACCTGTAAGGCTTTTAGGATCCCAACTTGACAGTTGGAAGCCCTGAGGCTTCATAATATGGCTGGCCGAGTATACCCCTGAATAACCCCCATAATAGTCCACTGTATAATCCCCTCTGTATGGCCCCCCTTTGAGGAGTTTAGACTATAGTACATACCAATTTGACCCCACGTTTGAGTTTCAGCCTCCCTTACCAGCTTATGAATCCTCAGCCACAGGTTAAAGCAGGATTTGGAAGCCGTAAACTTTAAACCCTGAAGCCTCAACTACCTAATTATAGCCTAAACCTTAGCAGCAATTTCTGCAAAGAGCCACACATTTGTGAATGGTCCTACACAGTACCTTTTGAGTTAAGAGTTTAGGATTTAGGGACACACTGCTTGGATATCTTCAGGAACCTAAGAAAGTTTCCGGTGGGTAGTTTCCCCCATATACGTCTTACATCGCCCTTACATACTCCTAGTATCCCCATATAAGCCTTATATAAGCCTTCTGTAAGGGTACTCACCTGAAAACTATCCACCTGAAACTTCCGTTAGATCTAGGCATGTTTGCTCAAGCAGTTCAGGGTTTAGGGTTTGATATTTAGGGCTTAGGGTCTAGGATTAAAGGTTCAGGTTTTAGGGTTTAGGGTTTAAGGTTTATGGCCTCTGGAGGGATTAGGATTCGGATACGTGGGAGGCTCTTCTGTAGTCGGTTCCCTTGTTTTGATAAACACGCTTAACAATCCCCAGACCCCCTAAAGGCGCCCAAAAATGGAACCTCCAAAAAATGACCCCACTCCTACATTTTCGGAGCCTGGGGGATAATTGGGAGATTCCATCTTTTTGGATCCTGTACAAGGTCTGGGCCAACAGAATTTTAGAGGTCT